TATCCCAGGCCACATACCAGTGTAATAGATCTACTCTCATAACGACAAAAGAGTTGACACCTTCATTCTCCTCAGCAACCAGAAACCTAGGTGGGGTCTGACTCAAGGTTTGAAATGAAGAACAACTAATATAAACATTATTGCCAGGCACAGTGGCTCATGCCTGTAATCCCAGCACTTTGGGAGGCCGAAACAGGCGGATCACTTGAGATCAAGGGTTCCAGACCAGCCTGGCCAACATGGTGAAACCCCATCTCTACTAAAAATACCAAAAATATCAGTCTGGTGTGGTGGCACATGCCTGTAATCCCAGCTACTCAAGAGGCTGAGGCAGGAGAATCACTTGAACCCAGGAGGCGGAGGTTGCGGTGAGCCAAGATCACGCCACTGCACTCCAGCCTGGGTGACAGAGTGAGATTCTGTCTCAAAAATAAATGAATAAAATTTTTTTAAAAAAACATTATTATATGACCCAAATACTGCAGCGACTCCATGTATTAGGTTTTTGTGAGAAAATGAGGCTGAAATGGCAAAGCGCTTCTCTTAGGCACTGTAAATCAGAACGGTATACTTCTGGCCAAATGTGTCTCCCACTGAAGACTAAGAAGAGAACATGGCTATCCTTTACATTGTCACTGTTGATGAATAGGCCCTCCTGGCAGCATGCCAGGTCACATCATGAAAGGACAGCTGTGGGTGGTGTGTACAGTGTCAGTCCATGAGAACGAGCCATGAGGCCATGTGGTGCAAGAACGAAAGATAAAGGAAGCAACACAGACCAATGCTTCAATGTTTAATTCTTATGTCTCGCTATGCTGATGAACTGCTCTTACAAAACAACTTCCCTTTAAAACAAAGACTCGAAAACCAAAATGAAGTGAGGCATTTCATGGGGCAGTCCGCATGTCAGGATCACCTCCAGACTGTACTACTCCTGGTCACAAGCCACTCTGGCAGAACAAAACCCCAGATGACAGGCCTCAGTTCAGATTTCTTCATAGCAGTGGAAATAGCAACTGTGTAGGAAGGCAGAGGTCTTTGAGTAGAGTTGGTGTCCCCTTGTTCCATTTCATTTTGCAATTGTTCTATATTTTTCTGATTAAAGAGAATTTTGAAGAATCCTTAGTAACAAAATACTAAAGATGTTGTTGCACTGCCTCTGAATTTTCCTCTTATGATATGCACCAATGTATTAGTACGTTCTCACACGGCTTTGAAGAAATACCTGAGACGGGGTATTTTAATAAGCAAATAGGTTTAATTGACTCACAGTTCTGCAGGGTTGGGGAGGCCTCAGGAAACTTACAATCATGGTGGAAAGGGAAGCAAACATATCCTTCTTCACATGGTGAAAGCAAGGAGAAGTACAGAGCAAAAGGGGAAACACCCCTTATAAAACCATCAGATCTAATGAGAACTCACTATCACAAGAACAGCATGGGGGTAACTGCTCCTATGAATCAGTTACCTCCCACCAGGTCCCTCCCACAACACATAGGCCTTATAGGAACTACAATTCAAGATGAGATTTGGGTGGGGACATAGCCATACCATATCAACCAAGAGGTGACTGAAGCCAGACTTTCTGGTCCTTCATCATTTCTCCAGTAAATATATTGCCATAAATGTATAGTAGAATAACATACCTTCTAGAGAAATTAGCAAAATGGACAAATGATACAGAAAAGGAGAATAAGAGGTATGGAACTGATCTGGAGATTACTACAGGTACAAGAAGATGTTACATGGGATATTTCCTGACTCAGAGTTTTGTCCAAGGCCCCAAAGGTGAGCACAATGTTAAGTGTCTCCTGGTTCTAATGACAGATGTTAGACCATTTACCCAGGGCTTACTAAATGGTGAGCCCCCTTGCCACTCTTCAGCTTATGTACAGGAGAAGGCAAGAGTGAAAGAGGGTTGTTACAGTTCTGGAAGCTTCCTTCCCACCCCACTCCAAGGCAAGTGAGGGGGACTTTGACAGAACCACTCAGAGAGATGGACAGGTGCCCCTGTTGTAGAATGGTGTCTAACTCTCCAAAAAAACAAACAAACAAACAAACAAAAAACAAAAAAAAAACAATGAATAGGCGAGAAGCCAGCTAGAGCTACCTAAGACCGACTGTAAAGATGACGAGAAGGGCTGCAGAGGGAACAGCCCTGCTTCCAGGGCTGGGTGGGGAGCAGAGCCACTGGGTTGTTCCCATGGGCTAAGTACACATCAAGCAAGCAGCTGGGCCTAGGCTGTCTTGGAAGGACCCTGACCAAGAGGCCTGCAAGTGAGGTAACCTGACAGAAAAAATTTGTGTGGGATGTACTACCAAAAGCAGGAGCCGGCAGTCAACCAGAGGGTACAGCATCTGAACCATGGAATGGGTAAGAAGAGGCTACCAGCAAAGGGAGGGTCCTCCAAAAGATCTCCAAAGTGGGCACCTCCAAAGAACAAAAGTGGTACTAGGTTGGTTTAAGCAGTCTGTGGCCCACCAGCCAGGCACTGCCTGACCCATGGAACTAGCTCTTCTGGGAGCCTCTGGGGATGTTCACTGGAGATACCATGTTTGCTGCTTCTCTGTCATTTCACCTGCATAAGTCTGAGAAATATGTTGCAGAACTTAAACATAAGGTTTCTGTTTCTATAATGTATGACTTTTTGTTCTATTTCCTAATATTCTGTAACTCCTGAGATTTCAAGGGAACTGTTCATTGTTTTAATCCTATGCCTTCCATACTGTGACTTATAAGAACATCCCCAGTTAAGCCCAGTGTCTGGTCCTGGTGTTTTATCAGGAAATGAACACCGGCCGGCACCTCAGAACCCAGAAAGAGGCAGTTTCTCTGACCTCATTCCATGGAAAACATCTGTAACTGTTCCCTCAGCAATGTGTAACATTAGCCTCTGGAGAAGGCCCATAAAGGATTTTGCCTCTCTTCCTTGGGAATTCGCAGGAAAGGGCTGTCTGCATGAGCTCAGAATATCTGTTAATATATTGCTACTCAGAGACTTAATAAGGATTGAAAAGAGGTTTCCGCTGCACTAAGGGAAATTTATCAAAGAGAATTCCAGAGTATTGAAGCAGCTGAAAGATGATTTTAAAACAAAGGCCTGAAAACTATGCATGATAAATTATCACAGATGTGAGTACTTTTATAAGTATTCCATTTTTAAATTGCCCAAAAGAACCAACTTTTCAGCAACCTCTTTAGAATCCATTGGCAGCCCTAGATTCATTCCAGATGAACTCGGCCAGAAATTTCTACAGCAAAGGTCAGGGAGGTCCATTCACTGACCTCCCTTCCTTGCTCCTTGGCTATAAATTCTCACTTTTCCATGCCACATTTGAAGTTGAGCCCAATCTCTCTTCCCCACTGCAAGACCCTGTTGCAGTGGTCCCTATGTCTACCTCAATGGTCCTGAATAAAGTCTTCCTTACCATGCTTTAACAAGTGACAAGTGTCATTAAATAATTTTCTTTTCTTTTCTTTTTTTTTTTTTTAGACAAAGTCTTGCTCTGTCGCTAGGCTGGAGTGCAGGGCACGATCTCAGCTCACTGCAACCTCCGCCTCCTGGGTTCAAGCGATTCTCTGCCTCAGCCTCCCAAGTAGCTGGGATTACAGGCACGTGCCACCACGCCCGGCTAATTTTTTGTATTTTTAGTAGAGACGGGGTTTCACCGTGTTAGCCAGGATGGTCTTGAGCTCCTGACCTTGTGATCCGCCTGCCTCAGCCTCCCAAAGTGCTGGGGTTACAGGCGTGAGCCACCACGCCCAGCCAAATAATTTTTTCTTCAACAAGGTATTATATAATTCTTAAGTGAAAATTGCATTACAATTTACAATGGCAAACATTTTAGCCCTGTAATAGACAGCAAGATAAAAGTAACCCCTGACAGCTCTGAGCTGACCCGGCAGTCACAGCTGGGCCTTGGTGCTCCGTGGAACATAAATACTTCACAGAACACCATCAGACGTGACCACTCTTTGACCGGATGGATCAAGACAAAAACAAGACTCCTTTGTAATCACGTGGGAATGCTGAAAAAACATAAACATTGTCCAAACCACAAAAATGACCAAACATCCCCTATCCCAGTTAATGAGTTACTGGTCTTGTCTCCCCTCCTTTTAGGTAAGTTAATGAGTCACTGGTCTTGTCTCCCCTCCTTTTAGGTAAGATTTATTATGATACTTAATCATACAATCGCCCTCCTTTCTGCCAGCACCCAGTCCAGAGTATTGGATTGGATAATCTGCTTCCCTGAACCTTTCCCCAAATTACTTTGGAGTAAGGCATCAGCATAGGAGGCTGTCACATTCGTTCAACCATCACTGTGCTTTTACTGGCCCTTTGCAGGCAAAGAATGAGAATGTGCACAGATGAGAAGTCCAGGATGCACATGACCACTCAATTAACATTTACTACTTTCATATCAACTGTTGCATGCTAGGATGTTAAAAACACTTTTTGAATTAATTACTGCGTTAAATAGATTCACATTTATGTCTACGGTTATGTGAACATCTAGCTGAACACTGTCTTGACTGTCCTGAGTAGAAGCAGAACAGGTAAGTTGTAAAGTACGTCAACAACCTTTGCTGCTAAAAAACGAAAGTGCAGTTTCTTTCTATCGGGCCAGGGGCGGGGCCATAGCTCCTCCTCCAGGAAGCCGCGCGAGCCCAGTCCCACGGCCGCCGCCGTTCGCTCTACGCATGCGCCATTTCCCTAGTGCGCATGCGCCGGGTCCCAGGCCCACGTGCGCCAGCCTGTGGGCTTGGATTGGCTAAGCTTTGAAGTTGTCCCTGTCCCGGTGACCGGAAGTTCTCCGTGGACGCTGGGCGGCTGAAAGCTCCGGAACTGCGCCTGCGCTTTTCAGTGAGTCATGCTTCAGGTTTGCCAGGGCCTGTGTCCCGCAGAAAGGCGAGCCCTTGTTCCCAGCGGAAGCCCACCCCGGCTCGCGGCGGCTTTCCGGTGCGCCCTGGGCGGCGTAGGTCCAAAGGTGCTCTCACCCCCGCCCCTTCCTCTCCGACTGCCGAGGTCGCCAGAGTGGGCTGAACCCTCGGGACTGCAGCTGCTTGTGTGCTGGGTGCTGGGCCGTCATCCCAAGATGATTAGCGGCAGGCTTTGCATGTTGCTCGACCCCACCCACCGGAACTCGAACCCGGGTTAGACCGGGCTGTTGGGCTGGTCTCTTCCTCTCGCTGCACCTTTACTAGGGGTCACCATTAAGGGAAAGGGCCCTAGCGCAGTACTGAGTGGCAGTTAAGTAACCGCTACACCACTGCCAACATTTGGCATCATTTCTCTCCATAGAGGGCGGGGTTCTCTGTGAAGCTGGGGAGCTGTAAGTGGGTTAGGGCTAGAAAGTTACACTTTCTCTTTAGGCTTTAAAGAGATCTAAAGATCTGAACAGATCTAGGTTATTATTGACTTTTTACCAACTTCTGGAAACATTGTTTCCAGAACTTTCCTCTCGTTCTTCTCAGGGTTTAGGCCATTTTTGTGCAGATGTGTGCACCTTGCTTACTATAATATTAGCTAATCTTTGTAAGTTTTTATATGGATCCAATACCATATTTCGTGCCTACTTTTCCTGGCACTGTATAAACTTTTTGGTATAGGTATGCATCTAAGCATTATCCATATTAGCATCAGTTCTAGAACCGTGGTGTCCAATAATGATAGCCATTAGTTACATAAGGCTTGAGCACTTGAAATGTGGCTTGTCCGAATTGAGATGTGCTATAAGTGTAAGACAGTGAAGTTTGGAAAATTAGCATGAAAAAGAATGTAAACTATCTCAATTTGTTTATATTAATCACGTGTTGAGATGACTATTCTGGATATACTGGGTTAAATAAAATGTATAATTTCAATTTTTATTTTTTAACATGACTACTGGAAAATTTTAAATCATATTTGTGGTTTACATGTTATATTTATGTTGCACAGCCCTGCTCTAGAAAAGGGTCAACAAACTATGACCTGCAGCCAAATCTAGCCTGCCTGTTTTTGTAAACAAGTGTTACCAGAACAAGATCATGCCTATCCATTTATGTTATTTTCTGTATCTGCTGTTGCTGCTACAAGAGCAACAGAGTTGAGTAGTCCATAGAGATTGTATGGCCTACAAAGCCTAAAATATGTACCTTCTGATCTTTAACAGAAAAAGTGTGCTGACCCCCTGCTCTAGAACAATGCCTGGTTTGGTAGATATTTTTAAGCCTTTTAATTGTAGACTCACATCCTGTTATTCACACTTACTGTGTGACAGCCATAGTTCAAAGCACTTTATCAAGACTTTCATTTAATTCTCATTAATCCTAGGATGTTGGATTTCTCCCATTTTGTAGATGAGGAAATTGAGGCACAGAATGGTCAGGAAACTTATCCAACTTGCTCAGCACCCCTCATTTCTAGGAACTGGACCTGCTTGACCTTCTTTATGCAAATGTTTTGACCCCCCAACCCCTTTTGATTAGCCCACAGTGGGCACCATGGTTCTGGTGGTGGTGGTTGTTTTGTTTTGTTTTTTTAACAAGATATATTTGAACTAGAATTTTTTGAATTATTTTTTTGAACTAGAATCGAGATGGACTTGGTCTCCTGCGGAAGAAGCCGAGGAGCACTGGGCTTAGGTGCAATGAGTACAAGCAAGCTGGTGTGTAGTGAAAAGAAATGAAGCTCACAAGCAGAGAAGAGAGAGAGCATCCTGTATGCTCATCACTCATTTAACAACAACAAAAATGTGTTAAGTAATAGTAAGCACTGGCTGGGTGTTTGCTAGGTGTGTATAGGTGAATAAAACATGTGGATCTTCTCTTATGGTCTTGTGGGGAAGGCAGTAAAAACGTTTTTTAAATGTGATGAACACCCTGAAAAAAAAACATGCAAATTATTTACTGTTTTTAGCAGGTTTCCTCACCTGTAAGATGAAAATAAGCCATTATCTGTATTTCAGGAATATTGTGAGGATTGAGATGACAGGAGAGTGTATGTCCCAGAGAGTTGCTCAATAAATATATGTTGCCTTCCACTGTGAAGAGGTAAGTGAGGGGGTGAGTATCAGGGATTGTGTACATTATGACATTTAAAATATTACAGTTGTCATGTGTAATTTGTGGAGAAGGTTGTCAGCTGCATTGTTCACAGTAGGTGTTTCAAATCTTTTCTGACTGAATGAGACTCATCTAGAAAAAGCCAAAGTCAGAGTTGTCTGCATTCAGTCCAGGAGCAGAACCAGAGCTGTCTTTGGGGCTGATGGCAGCCTAACTGGGAGGTCCTGCTGGGGTGTGGAGGAGGGTTGTATGCCTGTGTGTGGTTTAAATCAGAGTCACCCTGGAGAGCTGAGCCAGTGTGCAGGCCCTACCCTCAGAGATCCTAATTCATCCTATCTGGAGTGAGGCCCTGCCATTGTTTGTTTTTGTTTTTTGTTGTTTAATTTCCCCCAGATGATTCTAATGTGCAATCAGGGTTAAGAACCACTAATGGTGGGAGATCAGCCAGGCTCAGGATGCTGCTTGAGCAAAGGCACAGAGCTGTGCCCATCAGTGGTTGAGAGTAGTCAAGAGGGAGGCCTGCTACGGCTCTTTTTGCCACTGGCCAAGAAGCTTTGGCTCCATCATGAAAGCAAGGGGAAACCTCTGAAGGGCTTTAAGCAGGAAAATGAGGGAATATCTTGCTGAGATCTGTACTAGAGGATGATCCCTCTAACAAAGTGCCAGACTCACTTTGTGAGTAGAGTGTAGAAGTAGAGTGAAGGCAGTGAAGAAGCAAATTGTAGCTGTCCAGATGATGGAGAGCCCAGATAGGGTTTGGTACCACCCTGTGTGTGTTTTCTCTAGCAGCCAGTGTCTGTCCACGTTGAAATACCACATGTGTTGTAACTGGCCAGTTTCTTGTCAGTATTACTTCCACTAGGCTATCAGCTCCTTCAAGGCAGAGACTGTTTAGGCTCAGCATCTAGCACATACTCTATCCCTAATATATATTTATTGAATGAACTATGTAGAACTAAGCTGGACATATGCCTTACTTTGTCTTTTTATAGCAATTGTCAGAATTTTATATCTCAATGGCTTCCACGTTATACCCTCCTAGGGCAATAAATCCTTTATATCCACATGATGGTCCCACAGAGGACTAGAAAGTTTGACTGGATTTAAATGCTATTAAAAATGTGGAAGGGAATGGAAAACAATATAGTGGGTCCTCAAAAAATTAAAACTAGAATTACCATATAATCCAGCAATTCCATTTTTTAGTATATACTCAGAAGAATTGAAAGCAGGGTCTCAAAGAGAGATTGGTATACCAGTGCTCACAGCAGTGTTATTCACAATAGCCAAAAGCTAGAGGTAACCCAAGTATCCATCGACATTTGAATGGGTAAACAAAATGTGTTATATATAGACAATGGAATATTATTCATTCTTAAAAAGGAAGGAAGTTCTGACACACGCTACAACATAGATGAACCTTGAGGACATTATGCTAAGTGAAATAAGCAAGTCACAAAAAGAGAAATACTGTGTGATTCCACTCACATGAAGTACCTAGAGTAGTCTCATCCATAGAGACAGAAAGTCGAGTGGTGATTGCCAGAGACTGGAGGGAGGGAAAAATGAGGAGTTGTTTAATGGGTGCAGAGTTTTCAGTTTGGGAGGATGAAAAGCATGCTGGACGTAAGCATCTTGGTGGCAGGGACTGTGTCTTTTCAAAAATCCATGGGCTCTGTTTTATAGCACTTGATATTAAATAATCATCACTGAACATGCACAGGCTAAGAACACTGAAGTGATTACAGAGAGAATTCTTGCAATCTTCCCAGACACCATCTGACAAGTGACATAAAACATAATGACCTTTTAGTAATTCTACTTCTTTTCTTTTTTTTTTTTTTTTTTTTTTGAGGTGGAGTCTCGCTCTGTTTTCCCAGGCTGTAGTGCAGTGGCGCGATCTGCAAGCTCCGCCTCCCGGGTTCACACCATTCTCCTGCCTCAGCCTCCCAAGTAGCTGGGACTACAGGCACCCGCTACCACGCCCGGTCTTTTTTTTTTTTTTTTTTTTTTTTTTTTTTTGTATTTTTAGTAGAGACAGGGTTTCACCGTGTTAGTCAGGATGGTCTCGATCTCCTGACCTTGTGATCCACCCGTCTCGGCCTCCCAAAGTGCTGGGATTACAGGCGTGAGCCACTGTGCCTGGTCTAGTAATTCTACTTCTGTGAATTCACTTTAAGGAAATGAGAGATGTGGAGACCACATATGTAAGAATTTTCTTCAAACTTAGAGGAGAAACTGGAAGGCCCTCAAATAGGAGAATGGTTCAAAACTATCGCAAACTCCTAGGATGATCCAATAACATAGCCATTTAAAAATCATGTTTTTAGAGAATATTTAATGATGTGGAAAAATAGTCCTAAAGCTAAGTGAAAAAAAAAATCAATATGTAAAACTATATAAAAGATTAAACAGAGTTATATAAACCAGCAGATTCAAGATAATGAAAACATATGTCCATGCAAAAACTTGTACACAGGCCAGGCATGGTGGCACATGCCTGTAATCCCGGCACTTTGGGAGGCCAAGGCAGGTGGATCACCTGAGGTCAGGAGTTTGAGATCAGCCTGGCCAACATGATGAAACCCTGTCTCTACTAAAAATACACAAAATTAGCCGGGCGTGGTGGCGGGCACCTGTAGTCCCGGCTACTCAGGAGGCTGAGGCAGGAGAATGGCGTGAACCCAGGAGGTGGAGCTTGCAGTGAGCCGAGATCGTGCCACTGCACTCCAGCCTGGGCGACAGAGCAAGACTCAGTCTCAAAAAAAAAAAAAAAAAAAGAATTACCTATGAAAAGACTGAATACCCAAAATTTTAAAGAGGGGCATTTTCTGAATGGTAAGATTTTAAGTAATTTTCATTCGTTCTTTTACTCTTTTCTGTAGTTTCTGTGATAAGCATGCATTGTTTTCATAATCAGAAAAGTTATTCATCTAATATAATTTCATGATAAACTACACATTTGAGATATACCTACTGAAAAATGGTAAGAGCAATGAATCAATCACCTATCCACCTTCCCTCTGAAATGTGAATATCGTCTCAAGAGTGGCTATATCACCTGTGGCTTTGCATTCAGATAGGCATTCATAATTGTCTCAGAAATCGATTACTGCATCTCAAACAGGTGCATCTCCCCTCAAACTTTATCCCCAAATATTAAGAGTTAAGTACCTTTAGATAACCAAGATTCTGAGTCCTATATTTTTAACCACCAGAGGGAGCTGGAATGTAGAAAACCTGGGGCAGTCAGTTTTGTTTTGTTTTAAAGTTAGTTTGACAAAGGGCCATCAATTCAGGATCTTACGTAATTTTCCTAATTATTGTGAACCAGTACTTAAAGGATAATTCTTTTTTGCCTTTTTAAAATTCCACTTTTAAAGACTGCAAACAGTAAAAAAGGTCTTGCTAAGAATCAAACTCTCAATGAACAACAGGCAAGACAGCACAGAAAAATAAAAGTATTCACACCTGCTATTGGTGAACATTTCTCTCAGAATTGTCTGCTTCAGATCTTGAAGTCACGCAGTTGTGTCACAGTGATAAAGTTTCAAGCTGTTCAATATACTTGAGCCCTCCCCAACTCGTTGAAAAGTTTCCTAACAAAGAAGAAACATTCAATGTGCCTGCATTCTATATGCATTACTATTGAAGAAATCAGGGAGGGAGGTTTGCTAGGCATTGAGAAAGATGGTTAATAAGAGATGGGCCTACAGCGCCCAAAAGGAAGTTAAGCAATATTTGACTCAGTTCAGAATTTCTCAACTGAAGGTCTGACTGAGTTTCAAGGTGATTCTTAAAGGGAATTGTAATTATAGCTTTGGGGTTTCAGTGGAGTGAAAGCAGTAATTTGTCTTACCGGCAAAATGAGTAAATCTATAGAAGTTAATGTATTTATGTATAAACAACCAAAGCACTTTGCTCTTCATTTTATATGTTCTTTTATTGACCTTTATATTTCTTTAAAAATTTTTAATTGTGATAAAATATACAAAACATAAAATTTACTGTCTTAAGCTCCCCCCCCCCAGCTTTTTTTTTTGACAGAGTCTTGCTCTGTCACCAGGTTGGAGTGCAGTGCACAATCTCAGCTTACTGCAACCTCCGCCTCCCGAGTTCAAGCAATTCTCCTGCCGCAGCCTTCCAAGTAGCTGGGACTACAGGCGTGCCCCACCACGCCCAGCTAACTTTTTGTATTTTTAGTAGAGATGAGATTTCACTGTGTTGGCCAGGATGGACTCGATCTCTTGACCTCATGATCCACTCGCCTTGGCCTCCCAAAGTGCCGGGATTGCAGGTGTGAGCCACCACGGCCAGCCTGTCTTAAGCCCTTTTAAGTATACAGTTCAGTAGTGTTAAGTACATTCTCATTCCAGAGGGAAAGTAGGTAGAAGGTGATTGATTCATTGCTCATACCATTTTTCAGTAGGTATATCTTAAATGTATATAGTTTATCATGAAATTACATTAGACTAATAACTTTTCTGATTATGAAAACAATACACGCTCATCACAGAAAATACAGAAGAGGAAAAGAACAAATGAAAATTACCTAAAATCTTGCCATTCAGAAAATGCCCCTCTTTAAAATTTTGTGTAACTCTTTTCAGTCTTTTCACATGTAATTCTTAAATAAAATTTGGATCAGATTCTATTTTTAAATAACACCTTTATTCAGATGTAGTTCACACATCATACAATTCACCTAAAGTGTGTAATTCAGCGTTTTTTAGTATACTCAGTTGTATAACCCATAACCACAAATAAATCAACTTTTAGAAGATTTATTTGTGCCACCACTCCCCAAGAAAATCCCTGAACTTTATCAGCTGCTCCTCCTTCTTCACCCTGCTGCCCTTCTGCCCCACCCTACCTAGTCAACAACTAATCTATTTTCTGTCTCTATAGATTTGCCTGTTTTGGACATTTCATGTAAATAAAATCATGCAATATGTGGTGTTTTCTGTCTGGCTTCTTCCGCTTAGCATAATGTTTTCAAAGTTCATCCATGTTGTAACCTGTATCAATACTTCATTCCTTTTCATGGCAGAATAATATTCTGTTGTGTGGATAAATCACATTTTATTTATCCATTCATCAGTTGATGGACATTTCGATTATTTCCCATTTTTGGCTATTGTGAATAATGCTGTTATGAACATTTGTGTACAAGTTTTTGCGTGGACATATGTTTCCATTTCTCTTGGATCTGCTGGGTCATGATAACTGGTTTATTTATTTATTTTATTTTTTTAGACGGAGTCTTGCTGTGTCGCCCAGGCTGGAGTACAGTGGCATGATCTTGGCTCACTGCAAACTCCGCCTCCCAGGTTCGTGCCATTCTCCTGCTTCAACCTCCCAAGTAGCTGGGACTACAGGTGCCTGCCACCACTCCCAGCTAATTTTTTGTATTTTTAGTAGAGACAGGGTTTCACCATGTTAGCCAGGATGTTCTCAATCTCCTGACCTCGTGATCTGCCCACCTTAGCCTCCCAAAGTGCTGGGATTACAGGCGTGAGCCACCACGCCCAGCCCATATGATAACTGTTTAATCTTTTATATAGTTTTACATCTTGATTGTTTTTCACCTAACTTTATGACCATTTTTCCATGTCATTAAATATCTAAATACATGATTTTTAAATGGTTATATTATTGTATCTAAGGAGTGTGCCATATTTTTAACCATTCTCCATTTAACCATTTGAGGTCCTTCCAATTTCTCCTTAGAAAAAAATTCTTACATATGCAGTCTCCACATCTCTCATTTCCTTAAAGTAAATTTATGGAAGTTGAATTACTAAAAGGTCATTATGTTTTATGTCACTTGTCAGATGGTGTCTGGGAAGATTGCATGAATTCTCTCTCTAAACACTTCAGTGTTCTTAGCCTGTGCATGTTCAGTGGTGATTATTTAACATCAAGTGCTATAAAACAGAGCCCATGGATTTTTGAAAAGACACAGTCCCTGCCATCAAGATGCTTATGTTCACATCTAGACCAGACAGATAAATATAGATCCAAGGGTATTATATAGACAAGATTATGTACATTATGTGGAGAGGAAAAGGTAGACTGCTTAGATAAAGTAAACGTTTGCCTGCCTAGGATGAGATTCACACAGACATAATCATTGAGCAACTTTTTACGCTTAAAAGTTTTTAAAAAATTAACAAAACCAAAATGTAGGAACCAGTTAGTCTAAAGTCATAAATCATCTGGATCATTGAGTCTGAACCTTTCCCTTGTTCAGGAGACTTCTGAGGCAGCACAGTGTAGCCTGTTGGCTTTTGGGACCCGCAGACGTAGCTCTAGCTGCTTTTCAACCTGTGCTGTCTCATGGTTTCTTTAGATTGCTTGAGACATTAGCAAACCCTTTCTGTCTTGTTTCTTACTCTTTTATATTCAGAAGAGTACCACTTTAAAGATTATGAAATGAGCAAGTAGTTCAATTATATAGCTGACTCTGGGGAAAAATTGTCTAGCACTGTTCAGCATTGCCATATTGATGCTGACACTGGCATGATTTCATCTCCAGCATGACCACCGGATTCCACCCAAATGGATTGACTACTCTAGAAAGATCATTGATTTGTAAAATTGGAGATGGAAAAGCTATAGCAGATCCCCTGGCGAGCCTCTTAAGCAGATGTTATGTAGAGGCTCTGCAATACTGTTTGTTTATTTTTCACTAGTAGGAATTAAACTCTTGAGAGTAAACCATACCACCTTAAAGACTCCGTTTTCTAGTATGTCACATACATTTGTATTACATGACTCCTTCAGAAAACATTGCCTAGGTTACTGACAGAAACTGCTATTTTCGTATCCAGAAGCTGCGACTAGCAAAGGCAAACTTAAGAAAACTGAAACCCCTTTTTTCTTTGCAGCTGTAAAGATGTCTGACAAGAACCAGATAGCTGCCAGAGCCTCCCTTATTGAGCAACTGTTGTCCAAAAGGAATTTTGAGGATCTTGGCAACCACCTTACTGAGCTAGAAACAATTTATGTGACTAAGGAACATCTCCAGGAGACAGATGTGGTGAGAGCTGTATACAGAGTCCTCAAAAACTGCCCCTCTGTGGCTTTGAAAAACAAAGCCAAGTGCTTGCTATCAAAGTGGAAAGCTGTTTATAAAGAGACTCACTCCAAAGCGAGGAACAGCCCTAAATTATTTCCTGTGAGGGGTAATGAAGAAAATTCAGGACCTTCTCATGACCCAAGTCAGGATGAGACACTGGGCATCTGCAGCTCAAATTCTCTATCTTCCCAAGATGTTGCAAAACTCAGTGAAATGATTGTGCCTGAAAATAAAGCCATTCAATTGAAACCTAAGAAAGAGCATTTTGGGGATGGTGGCCCTGAATCCACTGGTAAGAGATTGAGTGAGTTGCTGGATCCCATAACACCCATGAGAACTAAATGCATAGAGCTTCTTTACGCAGCTTTAACTAGTTCTTCTGCAGATCAACCCAAAGCTGATTTGTGGCAAAACTTTGCAAGAGAAATTGAAGAGCATGTTTTTACCCTTTATTCAAAGAATATAAAAAAATATAAAACTTGCATCAGAAGCAAAGTTGCCAATTTGAAGAACCCCAAAAATTCTCACTTACAACAAAACTTGCTCTCTGGTACCATGTCTCCACGAGAATTTGCTGAAATGACTGTCATGGAGATGGCAAACAAGGAACTGAAGCAGTTGAGAGCCTCCTACACAGAATCTTGTATCCAGGAACATTACCTTCCCCAAGTAATTGATGGCACACAGACAAATAAAATAAAATGCAGACGCTGTGAGAAATACAATTGCAAAGTCACTGTAATTGACAGAGGAACACTTTTCCTTCCCAGCTGGGTGCGGAATTCAAACCCAGATGAACAAATGATGACTTATGTAATTTGTAACGAATGTGGGGAGCAGTGGTACCACAGCAAGTGGGTGTGCTTTTAACTGTAAATGAGTGTTCTCTTAACAAATAACCTGAGTGATTGATACCTTTTATTTGTACAACCCTTCTGTGCTTTTAAAAATCTTGTACACACTACTCTCTAAAACAGAAGAAGGAGGAAAGAAAGTCGTTCCTGAAGCTGACACCACCATCCCTAAAAGTTACAGTTTGGGGAGAGGGAGTGGATGACTATTTGTATTGTGCCTTGTGGCCATTTAATACCTTACTGTAGACAGAGTGTGGGTGAGAACAGCCCAGCATAAACTGGGAGCCTGTGGGAAATGCATCCCAGGCCTCACACCATTGAATCCGAATCTGCATTTTAGCAGGATCCCCAGGTAATCTTCCAGGATGGGATAGTTTGAGAAGAGCTGCTTTAGCAGTAGGTCTGTGACTCTCAGCAGTGGCTGCATATTAGAGTCATCTGGGAAGCTTTGAAAACCCACTGGTGCTGAGACCCCACCCTAGAACAATTCAGTTGGAACCTACGAGATGGGACTCAGGCATCAACATTTCTTTTTTCATTCCTCAAGTTATTTTAAGATGAGGTCAGAGTTGAGAACTACTCAGAAATAGGCTCTCATTTGATCCTTTGTACAGCTCTAAGACAAGAGTGTTATTCCAGGCACTTCATGAATGAGGAAACAGGTCCACAGAGGTGCGGTGACATGCCCAAGTGACACAACCATAAATAGTACCAATTCAGACAGATCCCGGATTTTCTTCCTCCAGACTCACTGAGACTGGCTCAATATCGACTTCTGAGAAATGTATTCCTGGAGGTTGGGGATGAAATGAAGAATGTGTTTAGACTCCAACACTGGGTGACTAGATCTTCATTCTTTTCCCCTCTCTTTTCCCATTTACAGGTCTCCCTTCAACCACAAAAGTCACCCTGGAACTCATCCCACAGTTAGAATTTTGTTTGGAACCCTCTTGCTTAGTTGAAGGAGTTGTTTTTTTGTTGTTGTTGTTGTTGTTTTTGTTTGTTTGTTTTCCCTGTGAACAGGTTTTCGGGGATATATAAACTCTAGGATGTTTAGTTTCTGATGTCAGGAGTCTTCATGTTCTCAAGGACAAGTGTCCTTGAGATGGACATTAATGGTCATTAGTCTGTCAGAGGAAGCCCATCACCTTAGCCTTTGAATGTAGAAACAGGCAGGCATTTATCTAATAAATGAATTGAAGACTAAATTACCTCTTTGAGGCCTTTGCAAACAGTGTTTAACCAGTTTACATAATTGTTTGAATACAACAAGCTTTCTATGTGATTATGGCTGATTTTTTTTTCCTTAAAAAACTCATAGAATGTTCATTGTTTTATAGTTTTAAAAAGTTTACTTTGGCGGTCTTTACAAACCTACACATTTCACTTTTTCACCAATTCTTTTCTCCTAACTCTCTTCCTTTGTTGGAGCTCTGAAGGCCTAACTATGTACACTTTACCTGCCTGACAGAATTCTCCAAAACATGCATAAAAGTAAAATATGGTCGTATTTTCAAATAATTTGGAAGAGTCGGTTCAGTGCCATCAAGTGTGAAATCTATTTTGATATACTTTCTCCCCGTGTCTTCCCAGGGCTGCATTTTGTGATGAAACATGTTTAGTTCTTAACTTGCAAGGTCATCTAAAACTTAAAGTTTCATAAAGTGTGGTTTCATATGACTTGGAATGATCTGAAAAACTATTCAGTGGTTACGAAAGAGCACAGCACATAAAAACCAAATTTGATTAGTTCAAGTCAGTGTTTATGTTTTGCTTTGGGGGTTTGTGTATATGTGTGTAGTTTTTATTTATATTGGAATTTGGTAAACTAAATGTTCAGACAAATAAAAGTACTTGAAATGGAAATTTCCTTACTCTCCAAAATATAAAAATCTGCATGGTCTGGCCGGGCACAGTGGCTCATGCTTGTAATTCCAGCATTTTGGGAGGCTGAGGCGGGCGGATCGCCTGGGGTCAGGAGATCAAGACCAGCCTGGCCAACATGCTGAAACCCCGACTCTACTAAAAATACAAAAATTAGCTGGGCATGATGGTGGGTGTCTGTAACCCTAGCTACTCGGGAGGCTGAGGCAGGAGAATCGCTTGAACCCAGGAGGCAGAGGTTGCGGTGAGCTGAGATCACACCATTGCACTCCAGCCTGGGCGACGAGCAAAACTCTGCCTAAAAAAAAAAAAAATCTGCATGGTCTTCCTCATTTCATTTCATCTTTAATTAGTGAGTTTTGCAACTCGAAATAGGAAAATGGCAATCTGTGTGTTTTTCTTTTGGTTAATGAGACAGCGTTACATTTGCTGCCTATGGGTAATTCTTTCACATCCTATGTCCTTTCCCCTAAAAAGAAAGGACTTTCTTTAAAATTGACTGCAGGGTAAAGTTGTTTTTTTTTTGGTTTTGTTTTTTTTTTTTTTTTTTTTTGGTAATAGACACGTTCTTACTCTGTCACTAAGGCTGGAGTGCAGTGGTGCCATCTCAACTCACTGCAGCCCCAACCTCCCGGGCTCAGTGATCCTCCAACCTCAGCATCCCCACTCCTTTGAGTAGCTGGGACTGCAGGCACATGCCACCATGCCCAGCTAATTTTTGTATTTTTTGTGGAGACAAGGTTTCGTCATGTTGCCAGGCTGGTTTCGAACTCCTGGGCTCAAGCGATCCTCCCAAAGTGCTCAGCCTCCCAAAGTGCTGGTATTACAGGCATGAGTTACCATGCCTGGACAAGACTCTTTAATTTAAAATCACTTTTACAGAAACAGCAAATGGGAGGCCCTGAGACAGGAGAGTGCCTGATGCAGTCAAGTTCCAGCAAGAGTCCACGGCAGCTAACTCACAGTGAGCAAGGGGAACAAGGATGAGAGATGCAGTCAAAGAGGCCATCATGAGGGCTCTTGTCGGTCAGCCATGGTAAGGATTTAGGGAGTTTCTTAAAGCATGATGGGAAGCCACTGAAGCTGGGGAGTTTGTGGTGATGAGATTTAACACCTTTTAGGAAGGATCACTCTGGCTGTTATGTTGAATTAGACGGGGAAGGAAGCAGTGATGCATGCAGGGACAACAGGTGACCTTTGGCAGTGGTCCAAATGTCACATAACTGGCGTCAAGCAAGAGTACACAGAAACTGGGCTCCCTGAATCCTTATAGTCAGCAAAATCCTTGACAACTTTGCAAATGGATGTTTCATAAAATACACTAAATCCCAAATTCCCTACCCATGACCCATAATAAACAATAATAGACAATGCAGAAATTCAGCACTGGATTGCTATCCTATACCCTGGTTGCTATGGTTACTGGGAGTCCCTGCATAGGGCATAAACACCAGTTGTTACACCTGAATGTAGGAGCGCTCTCTTGACTCTTGATGGATTTTCCCACATTGCCCTCCTTTTGTCTGTGTTACTTTTTTGAGATAAAAAGTTGGATACAATTGGAGCTCTGTCTCTTCCCGGAGCACTTCCTGTGATGAGAGGCTCCTTTCATTCGCCACTACCATTCTAAATACCAGTCAGGAAGCCTGCAGCTGGCAGTGCTCCACTGCTTTGGCAAGGGCTGGGCGTTCATCTTCTGGGTCAGATTGCTTTGTTATTTATAACTTCCCTGTAAATACAAAATATTTTACTAAAGTAGTTATTTTTGTATCTCTCAGATGATGTAAGTACCTAGGCTTTCAGAAGAGCCCCACAATCAGAAGGGAGACCAGATGACAACCTCATATAGTCCCATTTGCATTATTATTTAAAACTGGGATTCCCGGCCACACGTGGTGTCTCACATTTGTAATCCCAACACTTTGAGAGGCCAAGGTGGGAGGACCACTTGAGCCCAGGAGTTGGAGATCAGTCTGAGCCCCGTCTCTACAAAAAATATAGAAATTAGCCAGGTGTGCTGGTGTGCCCCTGTAGTGTCAGCTACCCAGGAGACTGAGGTGGATCACCTGAGACCAGGAGGTTAAGGTGCTGTGAGCCATGATTGCACCACTGCACTCCAGCATGGGTGACAGAGACAGACCCCATCTAAAAAAAAACAAAAAAATAGGTCTCCACAAATGTTACCATGCATCGTCAGAAATGCTCTGTGTTCATGATTGCACATTGCTTTCACTTTGCCAGGTGCTGGGGGCAAAGAGATGATTAAGACACTGTCCCAGGCCTCGAGCCCCACAAAATGCTGGGGAAGTGCCATGCTGTGCAGCCAGCAATCGTTTTACCTTTTAAGAGCTTTGAGAGAGACACCCACTGGAAAGGGGTGCAGAGGACCCCAGAGGATCAAGTAACCCAGTGTGGGAGGGTCAGGGAAAGTTTCATAGAGCCCATGACCCTTAGGGCAAATCTTGAGAGGAAGATGGCCAGGCAGAGGAAATGGGAAAGTCTGTTCAAGCATCATATTTGCTAGATTCTTGGCACTTTATGTACAGCATCTCCTTTAATCTTCACAACTACCCTGCTACACAGCATTTTAGAGGTGAGGAAACTAAAGCTGAGGGAGATTAAGTTACTTGCCCAAGGGTACACGGAGACAAAGCCAGGACTAACTCATAACAAAGTAGGTAGGTTTTGTTTGTTTTGCATGTCAGATTGCTTCTAGAAATAACAGCGGGCTTCCTATTAATTCCAGGCAAGGTCCTGCTATTTTATAATTGTGGTTTGTTCTTTCAATGATGGGAGTATGTGGTGTATGGATCCCACCTTTCCCTAGTACTGTGCACTCCTCCCCATGATGGAGAGATTGGGAGGAACCACCTGGCTAGGATTGCTGGCTCTCCTGACACCTTCTCATGGCATCCATGTGGTTTATCCAGTTTTCTGAAAAGTAAGTAATTTTTAAAATACTGAAATTTGAAAGTATAAGAACATATTGCTTTTTAAGGGATATTTACATGTTTATATATTTTTATGAATTTGAATACTATAAATATATAAATGTAGTTTCAAGTATCATTTCCTATAAAATATAGGGTCTTTCTTTTCTTTTCTTTTCTTTTTTCTTTTTTTTTTTTTTTTTTTTTTGAGACAGAGTCTCACTCTGTCACTCAGGCTGGAGTTCAGTGGTGCGATCTTGGCTCACTGCAACCTCCACCTTCCAGGTTCAAGTGATTCTCGTGCTTCAGCCTTCCAAGTAACTGGGATTACAGGCATGCACCACCGTGCCTGGCTAATTTTTTGTATTTTTTTTTTTTTTTAGTAGAGATGGGATTTCACCATGTTGCCCAGGCTGGTCTTGAACTCCTGGCCTCATGTGATCCACCTGCTTCAGCCTCCCAAAGTGCTGGCATTACAGATGTTAGCCACCATGCCCCGCCAAATATAGGGCCTTTCTATTTTCATGTTCTGCCTGTATGATCTAGGGAAATAACAATCAATTATGAAAAAATAGTTATTTAGAATCCTTTGTTAAATTATTGTAAGTACACCCCTGGACACAGAGTCAAAAATAGAATTAAAATTAATTTGTCGGACATACTCCTGCTTTCTTTTAAAATGTAAATGAGATATAAATAGGGGTAGGTTCCAATTAGTCATTAATCTTTTTCAAATGGTGGCAATTTTTTAAAAAAAATCTAAAACAACCATGGTGAAGTTACATATCCAATTAATAAGCAAGTTAAAACTTCACCCATTCAAAAACTTCTTTACTTTTTGTTTTTGGAATATACCATATTCACTTTTGAAATGCATGTCAACACAGATACAGGTAGCTCCCCAGCAGCTACTTTTACAACTTCAGAGTGATGTCGTAACTCACGAAATTCCCCTTTGTAGACTGAAACAAAAAAATTCAGAAATTTCCAAGGTGCCTGTGAGGCCCTGAGTCATCTGGCTGGATTCCACCTAATGCGCCTCTCTGTGAATGATTGAAGACAGAGCTGCAAAACCAGTTTCAGTTTTTGTTGTTACTTTTTTTCTCTAACCACAGCACAGCCAGGCACTTGTCCAACAGTTTCCCACATAGCTCTTCCCCATGGCGTGTGACTTCATGTGCGTGTCAGTTGGAAAGAGCTAAAAGTCAAAGTTCACCCATGTCTAGCAGAAAAGGACTTGAAGATTTTACATGGACTGTGTGTTGGTATTTATGAGTCCACCAGGCCATCTCATTTTGTCTTATCTTTTCAGACTGAAGATTTCTATTCCTTCAGTTTTGTTTTCTTTCAGCAGATGGGCTTTTGTCCCCCATCTTTGTGAAATCTCACAAATTGCTCAGCAGAAAGTTTCCAGATGACTTAGTGGATTTTTATGAACATTTAAAAATGAGGCTGAATGTGGTGGCTCAGGTCTTTAATCCCAGCACTTTGGGAGGCTGAGGCGGGTGGATCATCTGAGGTCAGGAGTTTGAGAACAGCCTGATCAACATGGTGAAACCCTGTCTCTACTAAAAATACAAAAATTAGCCAGCGTGGTGGTGTGCACCTGTAGTCCCAGCTACCTGGGAGGCTGAGGCACAAGAATTGCTTGAACCCAGAAAGCAGATGTTGCAGTGAGCTGAGATCATGCTACTGCGCTCCAGCCTGGGTGACAGAGGGAAACTCTGTCTCAAAAAAAAAAAGGGTATGGGGGGTTCTTTTTGGGGGTGCTAAAAATGTTCTAAAATTGATGGTGGTGATGGATGCACATGCTAAACATCACTGAATTGTACACTTTAAATGAGTGAATTGTATAGTATAAATAATATCAATAAAGCTGTTACCCAAAAAAATCAGATGAATGGAAGGAAGAAATTGGAGAGAGGGTCTCTATTGGATATTTATCTCGGTGAGTCATTCTGAACCTTAGTCCCAATTTACTCATGCTTGTAATGGTAGTCTTTCTCAAAGGGGGCTTTCCAGAGGCCCCAGCCACATCACTGACAGATAAAG